AGGCAGCTGCCTTACCCTGCCTAATGATGGGGCTGGACTTGCAGGTATATAATTTGGTACAAGGCAGAGAATAAAAATACTCAGGAATCTCAACTTCCATTTTCTAAGAAGAAGAAAAGCAAGTTACCCGTTTTCAGCCAAGATATAATTTGATCAGAATGTCATCACTATATCTGGTATTTTAAAAAAGAAAAAACCATCCAAATGTATTACTGCAGTAGGCATGAAAGGATTTATTCTAATCATAATGAGACACAAATGCTTTGCCAAGAATGTGCATCCATTGTTTCGTTAAATCCCTTGTTTTGTGTTTAAGTCATTTTCAGATTCAACTGCCTATTGGCGAGGTGAGACCCCCTAAACATGCAAACATGTTAATTGAGTTTTGCTATCCTCAAAAGACTATAGAAGAAACCAATTATCACACACATTTGATGGACTGCAGCAATCAGATACCCAGTTGCAGGGGAGACGGGTTTGCTTCTAGTGGTGCCTCAGCCAACTGGCTGCATGGTTAGTTTCACACAATGGGAAGCTGCAGTCAACATGTCCACCAAAACAGCAGGGGAGTTAGCAAACAAAAACAAATCAAATCAATACAAAACAAATGTTTTTATGAAAAGCAAAAGAGAAAAATCATACAGAGTTTCCCAAAAAAAGTACACAGGGGATAATTAGGACACTTTTATCAAAAGGCATCAAAGGAGAGGATAACTTTGTATCACTGACAGCTACTGTAGGCACGGTTTCAGCAAAACTTAAAACAATTAATTCCCAAATTGCACACCATGAGGAATACAGTCATTATATAATTAAGGGCTCCTTGTAAATCCTGTGCAACAGAGGAGGTCATCTGTTGCCTCTCTGTGTGATTCACCCACCCACTGTTCTGGCCTTGCCTTCTTGCTCATAAACGATTCTGCAGCATCTCTACATCATGCAGCAGTAGATCATTCAACCACTCTAAGTACAAGGTCATGCAGAAGAATTAGCTACCTGCAGAGAAGTGGGTATGCAGAGAAGTGGGTCAGGGCTCAAAATGGTGACTCAGGCAGATGTATGGAGGGCAAGCCCTGTTGAAGGTGGGTGTAATGGCCCAAGCTTCGAACTCAAAGGAGGAAGATAAGTCAGCCAAATCCAAGGCTGCTGTGTAACTGACTGGGAAACTGGACTAGGCTCCTCACTCTAACCCTGGAAGACAGCAGAACTAAATAACCCTTGGGGACTTTTTTAAGAGCTTGAGGAATTTAGTACTTCCTATATTACTACAACCACTGAACAGCACATGGAGCACTAGAGATGTGAAGGGAGGGTTTGTTTTAGTCACCATTTTAAGAAGAACATCCCAGATTCATAGTTTCTGAACTAATGCAGTGACTGAAACACAGTTCCCCTTTGAAATGTCTCTGTCTCCCAAAGCTTTCCTGACTGTTTGTGCCAAATAGTGCCTCTGAAGCTAGCATGGGGATGCTGGCTGCCGGGAGCTGAGGTGACCTTAGAGTAAGCAAACAAGTGGGTGAGGGAGCCCAGCCAGGTGGTCCACCAGCCCTCACTGTTGGAAATGGATGGACAAGTGGGAGGCCAGGCAGGCAAGCAGACACCGCACTGGTCTTTCTTGTGCTTGCTGTGTGCAATGCCTACTTGAGAACTGAGTGCCCAGCACTGAAGGGGGGCCTTTCTGCCTTGAAGGCCCAGCAGCACCCGCTGCTGCCACTCCTGCCTCCCAAGGTGAGGAAGGTGCTGGCCTCACATCCACCTTTGGTCAGTCTCTGTTGGGCCACTAAGGCTGGGGGCATCCTCCCCCCAGGCACCTGTGGGGCAGTGTGAGGAGGCACATCCTCTCTTTGGGGTGGTGGTTCAGAGACCAGGGGTGACTTCAGCAGCTGCCCGGAGGAGTCCCAAGGAGAGGGGAGAGGAGAGAGGGAAGGTGTTTGAAAAGGCGTGAGAGGCTGCCAGCTCTTCAGGCAAGGGGTGACATAACTGGACTTTTGAGTCCAGTTTCCACAGGGGAGCCACAGAAAGAATGTAGCTGGTCAAGGAAGGTGTGCAAATGGCTTGCTGGGAGCTGTCCATCGTGCTGAATCCAATGGTCTGTTTTGCAGGTCTTCTCTGCCATGCCTGCATTGCATCCCTGAATTGTGAATACAAGCTACAGACAAATCAGAACAGTAGGCCTTCTTGCTATTTCATAAAACTTAAAGTAAATCTTTCAGGATCTAAGAAAGAAGTGTACTTCCAACTTTAATTCAGAAAAAAAATGGCCCTCACTTATCAGACATTTGAGGAACACTGGCTTAGATGAATTGCCCAAACAAGGCTTAAGCAGCCATTCCCCCAAAGTGTGAAGGTGGCAATAAAACAGAGTTTATCTTTAAGAGATAAGCAGCAGATGACCCTATGGCTATTAATCCTCAATATATTTTTGTAGTGGTTCAGAGATCAATTTGCTAAATAAGAGAACATTGATTTCAAGACTTTCTGCCATTACACTTTGACATCGCTGGCTAAGTAACCTCTGCAGCTAAAAAAAGGCTGATCAATCCCTGGTGGCAAGCAGATAGAGGGGACATGGCAGAACACATGCTCTGCATGCAGAAAAGCCTCTATTTCAATCTCCAGCATCTCCAGGTCAAGGAACCCAGGTAGCAGAGCTGGGAGAATGACCTCTGCCTGAGGCCTGGTGATCCACTGCTAAACAGAAGAAACAACGCCAGTGATCTGACTAGGTATAGGACAAATTCATATAACTGAGTATGAATAGCAAGCAATCAGTAAATTACTTTACACACATCACCTGAGTTCCACAATCCTGACAATGCAGACGGGAGTATTGAGGCCAAGAGTTTGTGCAAGGCCCAAAAGATGAGTTTGCAGCTAACAGGTGGCATTTAATAATTGACTTTGTACCCTGCCTTTCATCAGATCCCAGGAGAGGCAACAATGTAAGACATTTGTAATACACGCAAAAAAATTAAAATTAAAATAAACAGTTACAATTATCAAACACAACACACACCCGTTATTAAAATACAGCAGTAACCATAACCAGTTTAAAACAGATGCATCAAGGTCACAACTCCTGACTAAAAGTCTTGGAGAAGAACCAGCATCTAAAGTCTGACCTTGATGGTACCAGCTAAACCTCAAGAGGTGAGGACGTTCCTGTTTGTTTGAAAGAAAAGTTTAAATAATTTCAATAAGATTAGCAACATTCCTCAGGAGAGTTTCAACTCATCTCTCTCATTTCTACAAAGCAAAGCTTGGAAACTTTTAAAAATCTTTGTCCCTTTTGCAAGGAAACTTCTGATCCTAAGCAGAGTTGGTGTAAAGCAGTTTTGTATCCAAATGGCATCACTGCACACCCATGCAAACTAGCAGAACACAATTTTTATTTTATTTATTTATACATATTTTTTTACAGGCTACTCTATAACAGAAGTTTTCTGGGTGGCTTGCAGAAACAAGACCCACATTAAAACCATCCCAATTACCATAAAAATACAATAAAATGCAGCAAATAAACACATTTCTAAATCCAAAAAGATGACTTCAAAAACAGAAAGCAGTTACTGAGTTCTGCAGCATTACGGTAAATCAAATTTAAAGCACACACACACACAGTGCTTGTGCATTAAAAAAAATCACAAAACTAATACAGTACTAAGCCACCATAATAAATAAATAAATAAATAAATATAGGTAAGTTGTTTGTTTGTTTTTAAGCCTTTGCTTTGTGCTAGAAATGCATTAAAGTTGGGAGGGGGCTATTGAAATATTGTTTCGCAGGTGGCTGCCCAACAGAACCTATGTGACAGAGGTGCACAGAAAAGAGACTTCGATGATTATCTCAAAGGCACAGGTAGGTATTTGTGTGAAAAGGCAATCTTTCAGGTTCTGAGGGTCCAAGTCATGAAGGGCTTTGAAGGTCAAGACAGCATACAGTTCACTGGAATCAGCAGAAGCCCCATTGCAATGACAAAGGAGCTGGATAAGAGCACAGATTTGTTTCATCCTCTGGCATTTGCAATGTCCCCAAAATCCAACATTTGATCTAATCTCATGATTAGAACAACTAATTCTGCACAAGTCCATCTTTTCCAAAATGCACCTAATACATCACAACTATTGCTCCAAACTCCAAATGAATCTCACCCTTAATCTATTCATTACTCCCCTCCACAGAAGACACAGGTTTCTAAACAACAGAAGGACATGCTGTTTAGGCATATGCCCTCCAGATATTTTGGACTACATTTCCCAGCAGTTCCAGTCGGGATGACCAAGGTCCTAGATGATGAGAACTGTAGTCCAAAACCTCTGGAGGACACCAGATTAAAACTCTGCCACACATCTTAAGGTGGCAACCAATCATGAATTCAGCATGGCAACTATTTAAATGGCTCAGAAAAACAAAAGAGTTCACAGGATTCCTTCCCTGCTTTCCCTGGTATAGAGTGAGTAACTCCTAACAAATGGAGCTGATTAATTTTTCTGTTTGCCTAATGTTTACACACAGATCATACTGTTCTCTAATTTATTCATTACTCAAATTATGCAAACATTTTGTCAACCTAGACCACTTGTGCTGCAACTCTTTCAAATTGCAAATTGTGACTATTACTTTCAAAATGGAAATAATGCAATTCAGTGCTACTGCACACCAACTAATTTGTAGGCTAGCTAATTTGTGTAACATACACAACTGATCTAGCTAATTAGCACTGAGAGTGTGTCTAGTTCTTACCAGTGTTCATTGTATTATAACAATATTTAACGTATTATAAAGACTGCTAAAAATGATATCTAAGCAACATCGCATGGCTTCTGCCAATAACTAAAGGCTGATTAATCACAGGTTGTTAATCACTTAGTGTTTCATGCACCCAGTGATGGAAATTAATGTATGAAATCATAGATTTACAGAATCATAGAATTGTATAATTGGAAGGGACCACAATGGTCATTTAGTCCAAACCCCCACCCGCAATGCAAATATCTTTTTGCCCAATGTAGGGCTCAAACTCACAACCCTGAGATTAAGAATCTCATGCTCTACCGACTGAGTTATATCCACTTGCAATGCCCAGTAACAGGCATTCAACGGCATGCTGCCTCCAACATTGGAGGTAGAACTTAGCCAACATGACTAGTAGCTGACAGATAACCTCAGTGTGCCCCCTTCCTCTTTACACTTGCCTCTTCCTCACCACTGTTGCCCATTTGCTTGTCTGTCCCTCTGAAGCCAACCCCCCCACCCCACTTCTCAGAGGAAGAGAACCAAGGGTGTCAAGCCTCCTCCCAATTGCTCCTACTCCTTGTAGGCAGCAGATAAGCAAAAGCAACAGGAGACTGGCAATACCAACGCCATACTCTGCCCTTGTTTCCAACAAAGCCCATTTACACAGCCAGGCGCTGGTTACCAGCTGTCAACCAACTGATATGTATCCATGTGTAAATCAAGCCTACAATCTCATTAACTGAAGAGCCAACAGCTTATATTAGTACTTTTGTCAAATAAAATGGAAAAACTTAATGCGAATTAAATGCAGTCCTAACCTCCCTTACTGGGGAGTAAGCCCTATTGAATTCAGTATGACTGACTTCTGAGTGGCCTGGTTAGGACCATACAGTAATTGTGTTTAGAACTGCAGGCTGAGTGACCATTATTTTAAACAGTTACATGACCTGTGTGCTAAGTGGGCATATTGAAAGCAAAATGTATTTCCTTAAAAGAGGGGAGTGACTGCCCTGTGTTTATTTACTGGTATTATTATTGTGATTAACCACAAAGGAGATTCTTAAAATACAACTTTCTTGCACTTTACATCATAAATATATCTGTGAACCTTTGTTAAGATTCTTGCCTTCTCTTTTCTGAAACCTTTCCCCTTCTGAAATCTGCATCCACAGCTGTTAAATTGCCTGAAAGCGACCTTATCTGTAATTCCATATCTGAGGGAGCATCAATATATTTCAAAATTCACTGCAAGGTTTTACAAGATCCACTCCCCATCCTTTTACTTAAGAGATGCCTTCAATCCATTCTAAAGAAAATAAGTTCAATTTGTTATTTAATAGCATTTGTGCAAAGGTAATTTTAACACAGCCTTCCTACACACAACTTTTAGCATCGTTTGCATAGAACTTTGGCTGTGAAAACTAACTTGAAGCCTCACTCATTCACTCTGCCTCTTTGGCATTCGCCTATCACATTGGGAAGGAATACTAAAGTTACAAATCTGTGACTAACTCGGTGTTTCAATCAAGTTTCTGCAATGGAAAAGCTTTCCCATTAAACCACACTTCACTCTTCTTTCTAATAAAGAAGATAGCAATGGCATGAGTTGCTAATAACAATGTTCCAAGGGCACCATGAATTTAAATCTCTTAGAGGGGCAACCTCACAAATAACTCTACTTACAGTGCCACCCTACTCAGTTGGGACTTTCTCTCAGGTGGAAGGGTATGAAATTGCACGGTAAAGTTAGTAGCCTAAAGCAACGTTTACATGCCCCCACTGGCCACATGTACCAACCTCAAGAGAACAATTTAAATCAGTTTTTAAAAGCATAAAATCACCACTGCAGTTTAGTTCCAAGCAATATAAATGACACAGGCGATATCCAGTTTCAGATCACTTGCATGGTTTCTAGTTTGTCCCAATGGCATCCATTTGGGGCACATTGATGGCTGCAAAATAATAAAAGAAGAATTAACTTGTTTCTTGATTGCAAGTGTTTCCCAGGTCTGGTCCCCACAGAGGTGACACCTACTCTCCATAGATGACCAAACATGTTACAGAAATACTGCTCACTATGACTTTCTTTTCATTGGGAAACCTATGAAAATTATCTTGCCAATGTCAGTAACAAGATATTAGCAATATATAGTATATTGCAATTAGTGGTCCATCTGGATCGATCCAGAACTTTCTCTAGTTAAAGCTCTTGATATTATTGTAGGATGAGCAATAAAGTTGCTCTCAGGGCCAGGGCCAGTGGCAAAAAGTGCATACGCCAGGGGTTTGATAAAGATCAAAGGAAGCAGACTAAAATAAGTGTTCATCTGCATGATTCTTGTTTGCTCATATTGTAACGCATAGCTCATTCAATGTCTTCACAATAATTGAACGAACAGTTGCAAGACATTTAGATGTTAAATCATAAATCACTATTCTCTTTTGGTGTGAGGAGGAAATGAAAGGGAACAAAACAAGTGGAAATAGTCAAATTCCAATACCAAAGTGTCTCCTCTTATTGAAAGCAAGACCTTGATATGTGTTGGCTGTGGTTCAAATATGCATTAACAATTGCACCATGTAGCTAGATCTCTCATTCAACTGAATAACACAATTCATAGAAGAATTGCCTACACCTACACCTGTGAAGAATGCAACAGCAGATTTTACACTTATTCCTCTGCATCCATCATATCCAAATTCTAGTAAGTTGTTAGGGTAAAAGAAGGCCATGACTTTACTGATTACAAACAATGTTTGGCACAGGCATGGAGTATGGATCTACAGATTGAGCACCCTAAGTGCTGGTCAATGCACTGTCAGCCCACAATGCAATTTGCCCAATGTTGGGGTCTGTGGTGGCATAAACCACTTCTGCTGAGCCCCACTGGCAGGCCTGTCAGCCTCTGCCCTCCAACATCCCTTAAGGGGATCTCTCCTTACGATGACGCAGGCTGCCCCTCCCTTACCCCTCCCATTTAAGAACTGAGCCCAATGCCTCTCCCACCATCACAAGTTGTAATGAGAAAGGAGACAATTAGAACACATCCAGTTTGCGATGACAACCCCATGACCCTACAAAACCAAGGCCAATCAGGCAGTAGGTAAAAAGTTTCTCTCTGCCCCTGAGAACCAGCAGCTGACTGATGACCATTAAAAATTCCCTTTCCATCAAGAGAACCAACTGAATATTTTTTTAAAAAAAATATGTATAAAAAGGGGCGGATGGGGAAGCCCTTGACAATTAAGGTGAAGAGAGCATTTGAAGTTCCCCTTTTATGCTCAGGGAGTGGACCAGTCCAAGGGAGCCTCCTTCAGCTATTGCCCTCATACATTATTCAGTAAGGATAACAGCAGATAAAATACTGCTTGATTTTAACATGTCTTTTACCATTTTCCAAAATATCTGCCCCTTTTTTTTACAGGATCACCATGTACTATGGGGGGGTCAACTTTTGGAGCCTGACACACCCACAACTTCCCTTCCCTTCCCTTCCTCCCACTTACTTATTTCCTTTTCCACACGGCCCAGTGCCACTGAACTGCCATCTCCATGCAATTCTCCCTCTAATATATTGCAACAGAAAAACTGGAACTCTTGTGAAGTGAAAACTGCCAAACCACTCTTGGAATCTCTCTATTCAAGTCTCTCGTCCATTCTACTGTATGTTTATGTGTTGGCATCTTACATATGTTAACAATTTTAAAAAGCATCCAGGCCTGTAGGTCTACAGCAAGGTTTCAGTTTTGGTCATATCCCACCATATCTCTTGACGTCTAATCAATCCATCCCATGGGCCCAATCAGGCCCAGCAGGGATCCTAACTAGGCCCACAACAAAATTTCCCCAAGACACATTGATCTGCCCTACACCTCATGCCAGGGCAGATGGGGCAGATAAGATGTTTCTCCTTGCCTGAATAATATTTGCATAGTAAATACCTGCAAAGCCCAATACCTGTGCTCACACAGTATGATTTAAGATAGCAAGTGTAGAGGTAAGCATGTGACCTGGCATCACAGTGGTGTCAGATGATTGACAGGTTAGGCAGCCTTTGGATCCACACCCACCTGTCAAAATGGCCTTTGGATCCATTGAGTGGCCTAAAGATGCATCACACCAGATGGAAAAGGTTTTGCAGTCCTGATACATGGGACAGGGAACTAGAATCTACTCTTTCATTTCTGGTAGCAAAATACTGGAGCGGTGGCCTCACTCAGCAACAAGTTAACCTCACTGAATGAAGGCAGCAAATCTGGGCATGGGCAGTGGCCCAAGATTGACTCAGAGGTCACATGGTGACCAAGATGAGAAGGATTCTGGACTATCGTGCTATCCCTGCTCATCCTTCCTGAAGATCTCTCCTCCAACCTAACCCCCTTATGATATAAGGAGCCAGTAAGCCATACTTTACCTGCAGCCAATTTGTACCCCACAGCACCCAGCAAAAGATCACAACCTACATCCTTACAGCCCCCCACAAAACAAAAGATCACTCAACATATCCAGAAGTCTGAAGATGCATTTAAACAACTAACTTAAAAAAAAACACCACGGGTTTGTGAAGTCAATCACACCTTTCTTTCTCTCTTCAAAGACCCGAGTCATTATTTTTAATCACTTGAACTGGCAATCTCTTCTTGGATGGAGGCAGCAGTGAGTGCACAACTTTCTCCCAGGGATTATCAATGCAACATCTTTGCACTCTTCCAGGGACTTTTAACAAGGGCCCTGTGAAGTGCCCCATCAGGAACCCAACAGGAACATAACAAGCTGCCTAATTTCTTCCCAGATTTCCAACCCCCCTTTGTCTTTATTTGAATCCTTGCATCCTTCAAGAGCAAGCCTCTGATTCTCCCTGAAAAAGGCCTCTGCACCTCAGATTTTCATTAGAACCGCAGAAACAATTTGCCTTCCGAGAGTGCCTCATTTGCCTTTTCCACAAGTGCCTCATTTATTCAGCTATTTGAATGGAAATCCTGACTGTGACTTCAAATGCCCACTGACCTACCTGCTGCCTCATAATACGAGCAATCATCTCCCATTTTGCCCTTTCCATACCCTCCGGCCGACTCAATTCATTAGCATACCATTAAGCATTTCTGGCAATGGGGAAATGTCCCATTCTCTCTCACTACATAAATATCCTCTCTCCACATTTAACTCATCATTCTTAATCAATGCTTGTACCATTCCACTAAAAACTTCTTGAGATGCTAAGAATGTTTTTTTCTTTACTTTTTTAATTGCCCCTGCTTTTGTTCAAAATCTTGTTTTGTCCCCACACTGATCCATGTCAAAAATCCACAGCATGTGCTAGGAGCCTACATATTTGGCCTA